ATCTGGTGGCCATTTACAAACTCACCAGGGGGGAACAGCGGAAATTGGAGGAGGTTCTGTTCCCTCGGGCACCACCTAGGGTTACTAGGAATAACGGCCACAAATTGTTAGACATAAGGTTCAGGCTGGACATCAGGAGGCATTACCTTACAGTTAGGGCTGCCAGGCTCTGGAATGGACTCCCAAGGGAGGTGGAGCTTTCTCCTACCATGGGGGTCTTCAAGAGAAGGCTGGATAGAAGGCTGGGGTGTTACAACCCTAGCACTTGTTCCTGCCCGGGGCACTGGGTTGGACCTGATTATCTGTTTAGGTCCCTTCCAACCCTAAGCACTATGAAACTATGTAGACCTGGCCAAAGCTAAGGGACTGTAGATTCTGGAAGCACAATTTAAATTCTAGGACTGTTACAGTTATTTCTTAGGATATCATGAAATCTAGTCTGGCAGCTCCTGAATGCTTAATAAACAAACAGTGCAACAGAACTAGTAAAATAATACTTGTGTGATATAAAGCCATGTTATACTTACAGGCTGTTTTACAAAGGGTCCCTGTCAGAGGAACCTCTTCACAACTCTTTTTTTCCCATTTCCCCGACTTAGTGTTCATAAAAGCACATGTATTCATGACCACTTCATCAATCTCCTCCTCAGTCCACTTGGTAAAATTCATTTCTGACTCATCATACCACTTGAAAGAATTATCTGTGATTGAAAGAATTGCACTCATGTTGTTCAAGTAGAAACACTTTTTTCACATTGCCTAATCAAGTAACTGCCTTTAAAAGAAAATGGAACATTCTGAAGGTATTGTTTGGTACTTTGTTTAGAAATATGTTTAGAAAGTTGTTACACCTATAGCTAATTATAGTTAGTTGTAGCCAGTTTGGTCTCACTGAAATAAGCAGCATAAAAAAACATGCTCTGAATTTCATGCAATGAGGGCAGCAGTGCATAACCATAATATGCTTGTAAGAAAGACCACCTGGGGCAAGAGACCTTCCTATCATATACCAGTACTTGGGCACTTGTTACTGCTGCTTTCCCAAGAGCAGAATATACTCACTGTATTTGGACAGTGCCATCCATGGTTGCCAATTTGGGATACATTCTCTCTCCCTTGAGACAGTTCTATTTACATGAATGATGTAAGTTCAGTCACATTAGGTATGTGTGAATATTCCCTTATATGCCATAAACAGTACACACTTACACGCCATACACAGTAGGATGTAATTTGTAACTCACCTAACATACATTCCTGCTTAGACATCAGGATTTAGTCTTTTTTCTCCTCACACCCCCGCTTTATGCTTACAATAGCAACAAAAGAAAAGGCTAATTTTTTGAACAAATCTGCCATCAGTATACTGGGCTTATTTGTACAGTATTCCTTGAGCCCACATATTTTCTTGGAAGAAGAGGCTGTCACAGGTCTCAAAGTTCATCTTGAGTCTGTCCTCAGCTCTTTGTGGCTTTACAAAGCTCCTAAAGTGAGTAGAATATTCTTCAGGTACAGGGGCACTAGGACATCTGTTTATTTAGCACATTTATGGTAAGCTCTACTTAATACAGGAAATGGCCCTGACCATCTCTGACCTAAAAGGTTTAATTGTAAGCTCAGCTGAGAGATTTTTAATAATCTTCAGTGGGGATAGTGAGAGCTTCTGGCAAGGTAAATAAACAGAGCAAACAAGGAGATAAAATGCACCCTTAAGGCAGTGACCTTTTCTATTAAAGGCAAACCCACAATGCTGGTACTGGGAATTACAGGTGAGGAAAGGTGGTTTTGTGATTAAGGCCTGAGCTTTGAGTTTCTGACCTAGAAGCCCACAGGGGAATGGGGATATCAAATTTACTTCTGTCTCTTTAATAAAATCTTGATTTTTTTTCCCTTTATCCCACATAGGAAAGATCACAGTTTAAATCAGGGTTGGAAGCTCATTATTACTCACTAGTTGAAAGCATGCTCTCTCATACACTAGAAGTACAAATGTTGCCAGATCTGTTATTCTATTTTACAAATGCAAACCTGAAGCACACGCTAAGAAGAGTTAACCAGGGTTGCACAAACTTCCTCAGGCATGCAGATGCCTGAGCACCTCGGCTGCCTGCAGTCATACAATCAGCTGATTGGCAGGAGGAGAGCATTCTCCTATGGTGGGAATCCTCCTGGTGCTCCCCCATAGGAGAATAACCCCACTCCTTGCACTCCGCTGGGCTGACACAGAGGAGTGCAGGGAGATGAGAGTCTTGGCAGAAGGGCATGGCAGCCTGCCTTGCCCCATGCTGTTCTGGGCTGAACCAGAACAGTGTGGAGTGAGGTGGGGGCATTTTGCTGCAATGGTTTGCTGTTGTGACATAGCAGCCTGCCTTGCCTCGCCTCCCTCTGCTCTGGGTCAGCTGGGGGGCACAGGCAGCAAGGGGAAGTTGGAGGAGCAGGGAGCCAGGCTTGGGAAAGCCTCCATACACCTAGATCCTGGTCCCTCTGGCTTCTGTTTGCCCCACCTGCCACTCAGATAAGTGGCAGGGGTGGCAATTTAAAAGTGGGAGGCTTTCCCCAGCCCAATTCCCAGCTCCCTGGGGTCACAGTCCCAGGTGCTGGCCCTTAAATTGCTGACCTGTGGTTCAGCTGAATGGTGCGGGTGGTAAGGAGAAGCTGGCAGGAGCTGGCAAAGCCTCTTCCCTCTTCCCAAAACAGGGCCTGTCTGGTTTGGGGAAGAGGCAGGGACTGGTGGCTGCCTCACTACACCTTGTCAAGACTGAAGTAACCCCAGACTTGAGAAGGCAGAAAGCCTTTCCTCCCATTCCACAATTCCTGAATCCTGGGAGGAGTTAAGCTGTGGAAAAGTGTACAGATGTTCAGTCTCCTGGGAGAAACTTTCTCAGGTGCGAATTAACCCTGGTTGTTGCTGGATTATTTTCTCCTGGAGTGTCCATTTTTGCTGTGGGTGAAAAGCCCTGAACATCTGCACACATTCAGTTTCTACCAGGAGAATGATTCTCCCAGTAGAAACTGAACATCTGTATGTGGCCTAAGAGAGTGACCAAATAATGATAATGGGTAACTTCATTAAGATCAGTCATCCCTAAGGAAAATAGTACAAGCAGTTCAAGGTCATAGTCCCAGTAGGAACAGCATAAGGAGACGACAGCATACTTAGGGCTAGGACAGCTCTAGACGGCTACCATTAGGATATTACTATACTAAATAGTGGAAAACTTAAGGGCTTTTAACCTTTTCTTCTGCTGCTATTCTGGAGCAATGAAAGTAGCATACAGTAACAACCATCTTTTTAATTACATCACAATTTTACCTACAATAATCTCTGGAAAAATCATGTTCCATTCACTAAGCTAAATTCTGTTCTTATATATGAAAAGCCCAAAGTAATTTATTAATATCCAAAATAATTCATTAATGTGTTACTCTGGCTTTACCCAGTGCAGATGAATTTGGAACCTGTCCTTTTTGTATATGCATACTAGTTAAATCTCTTTCTCAGCTACTGATGTGAATGGTGGAAGGAAAGCCAGACTGTTTCCATTAATATGCAACCAACAAGCTGGTTTTACTAATTTTTAAAGCAAATATAGCACTTGTCAAAGCTGTTGGATTGACAAGCCTGGCCATCATTCTATATTAATCTTTGGTACAGGCACTACAGCACAAGTAAGGGCAATGCAAACTTTATATCTTCCTCTGCCCCTAAGTGGAAGAGGGTATTTAGAGATAAAAGTCAGTTGCATATTAGTCCATATTCATTTTTTGACACTGCCAACCAACGTTCTGGTTAGCCTGCTGTTGGTTTTTCAATTTGGATACTTGTCTTACAAGAGTTGAATTGACATGGCCACATAATTAAATAACTATTTCACAGACTGGTATTTTCTGAAATCATTACAGTCAAAGTATTAAGACAACATCAACATGGTAAACCTCTCACTTCACTTACCATCTGTATCAAAAATCATGCCCAACAAAATGTTATCAGGGCCGTGCCAGTGATTTTTGAAAGTTTCCAGTATAAACGTATTCTCCTTTTCATTTTTTATACTAATAATATCTGCACCAGAAGCTGTATTTGAAAAACAAAGTCACCTTATTAAATTTCTTTTAACATGCATTTCATACAACTGTTGTATATATAGTTAAAATGTTTAAAGTATAGTTTTTAAATATAGTTAAACTATATATTACATTTAATGTTTCCAATTAATTGTATACATACATCACGCACTTCCTAGCACTGAGGTGGCACGCTGACAGATAGATGCTACTTACGATGAGATTTAAAGTATGTAGGTACTTAGATTGATATATATGTAATTTGAAAAGACATCTAAGAAATTTAGTTAATTTAATTAGATCATGGAACTGGTGTCTCAGATGTGTCATATTCCCTTGATTGGTTTCAGATTTTGAACACAACAATCATTTAAAAGAAGCAGCAAGCAGTGCAAATTTAAACTCTTATTACTTGTGCATAACCAATCTGATGATGTATATGTTATTTATAAGTTGTTAAAAATATTAATAAGCAGTAAAAAAGTTATCTACATAGATATGCCTAAGCCCAAGCCTTCTTGTTTAATACGTATGCACTATTTTAAAATAAGTGTCGGCACAGCAATTTGCTTCTAAAATCCCTCTGTCAATCTTGAGTTGAATTTTCACAACCACTTTTTTCAAATAATGATTTAATATCAAATGAAATTCAAAATAGTAAATTGAAAGTTAAATTAATGCTGAATGTCACACCACATTCTCTTCAAGTCGATGGGAATTTTGCCTTTTTCCTTGAAAGCAAGTTGATTTTCCATTTTCTTTAAAAAAAAAGAATTATTTCTCTACAGAACAATTTGTTATAAGTGATGGGTTGCTTGTATAACCACAAATACCAGATTACTACACCTACTGAGATGAAGGTCACATAACAAAAGACATTTCCAAACCCTACTCAAAAATGTTTTACTCCATTCTAAAAGTTTCTTGCACTTCAGAAGAAGAAATAAAATTGTGTCTAAGCACGGGCATAGGCACTGGGCTAGGGGGGAGAAGACTTTCTAGGCCTCTACTGCCACATAGATAGACCTGAGGAGGGCTAAGTGGAACTAGTCATACACATACAATACATATATAATATTTTACCAGGTAGAAAAAAATAATAATAGAAAATGAGTTTGTGGCATCACATCTAGACTTTACAGAGAACACCAAGGTAAGGACAGGGATCTATGGTAATATAGTACTGTATATAGAATAGCAATACATAAACCAAACTTATCTATGGGCAATTTCTATGGAAGAATCGCACTTTGGAGATGTGCAGTCACATCACGATTCCCTTGCATGGGGTGGGGCTGGACTGTGACCACAACTTCGAAATATGGGCCTTTTAAGTCACAGCCCTCAACGGGGCCTGGGGCGTACAGGCATGGAAAGGGGAAGCAGTCTCCCTTTGGGCTGCTCTGGGCACATGAGATGGATGGCACAGCTGCTGCAGAGTGGGTGATGGAGTCAGGATCCTTTCTGGAGTCCTGTT